TGTTCATAAGTCTGCACATCATAATGGTGAATATCAAATGGATATATTTCATGTAACATCATACTATGATTGGATGTTTGTGCATAAGTCTGCACATCATAATGGTGAACATCAAATGGATATATTTCATATCATATCATACTGAAATTGGATTTTTGTGCATAAGTCTGCACATCATAATGAAGAACATCAAATGGATATATTTCATATCATATCATACTGAAATTGGATGTGTGTGGATGTTTGTGCATAAGTCTGCATATCATAATGCTTAAGTTCCTTTGCATACGTGTAAATATCTTATATGATATCATATGATATCATACTAAAATTGGATTTGTGTGCATAAGTCTGCACATCATAATGGTGAATATCGAATGGATATGTTTCAAATAATATCATACTGAGAATTGATTTGTGTGCATAAGTCTGCATGTTATAATCCTGTTTTTCCTTTGTATACATGTATATATGTTATATGATATCACACTAAGATTGGATGTTTGTGCATAAGTCTGCACATCATAATGCTGAATTTCCTTGCATACTTGTATATATGTTATATGATAACATTTTGAGATTGGATTTGTGTGCATAAGTCTGCATATCACGGTGAATGTAAAATGCATATATATCTCAAATAATATCATACTGAGATCAGATGTTTGTGCATAAGTCTGCACATCATAATGGTTAATGGCCATTATATATATATATATATATATTTCATATGAAATCATACTTAAATGTTGAATTAAGATTTGTGTGCATAAGTCTGCACATCACAATGCCGGAATTTCTAATATAGATATAAATAATTCATATGATATCATACTGAAACCGGAGTTTTTTATGCATAAGTCTGCACATTATATTGGTGAATTTACTGTGCATACACGTATATATTTTTTTATACCATATCATATTTAAATTGGATTTTTGTGTATAAGTCCGCACATTTGTTCATATTGTTTCCAATATATCATATTCATCTACAACGCCTGTTGATCCAGAACACTGCACAATTCCATTATTTATTTCTCCAATACTTGATTGATTCTAAATATAGAATTTCACATAGTACAAAAGTCTGCACAACATTTTGATTTTTAATTTCCATTGTGAATTGGATGTGACCGTGTATATGTTTAAGCGACGGGATATGGAAGTTTTTATTGATTCCTTCCCAAATAAAAAACGCTAATTGACTTGGTTTTGAATCCTATGCCTCCTTGTTATGAGTCCACGCTTATACCACTGGACCATGACAACTCCTTGTTTTAAAAAGGTTCCCTCAAACTTTGTCTGTAAACAACTTATGTTTCAACTTTTGTAATATGTTTGTTTCTTTTCTTTTTTTCCTGTTTATTCTGATGGTATTGATATAAATTTCATACATTGAAATTATGTACAGTTTGCTTATTTGATGTTTTGTTTTATAATGTAAGAGTAATGATGATGATGAAGATGATGACAGTAATGATCATGGTGATGATGTTGGTGAGAATTGCGATAGTGATGATGATGGTGATAATTGTGATGATTAGGAGGAGGAGAATGACGATGATTGATGACGACAATGATGATGATGATGATAGTTGTTGATGAAAATGATGATGGCGAATGGCGGTGGTGTTGATGAGGCAGTGGTGGTGGTGGTGATGTTGATGAGAATGATGATGGTGGTGGTGTTGATGAGGATGATGATGGTGGTGGTGTTATTGATGATGATGGTGGTGGTGTTGTTGATGAGGATGATGATGGTGGTGGTGTTGTTGATGAGGATGATGATGGTGGTGGTGTTGTTGATGAGGATGATGATGGTGATGTTGTTGATAAGGATGATGATGGTGATGTTGTTGATGAGGATGATGATGGTGGTGTTGTTGTTGATGAGGATGATGATGGTGGTGTTGTTGATGAGGATGATGATGATGGTGGTGTTGTTGATGAGGATGATGGTGGTGGTGTTGTTGATGAGGATGATGATGGTGATGTTGTTGATGAGGATGATGATGGTGGTGTTGTTGATGAGGATGATGATGGTGGTGTTGTTGATGAGGATGATGATGGTGGTGTTGTTGTTGATGAGGATGATGATGGTGGTGGTGTTGTTGATGAGGATGATGATGGTGGTGGTGTTGTTGATGAGGATGATGATGGTGATGGTGTTGTTGATGAGGATGATGATGGTGATGGTGCCTGTTGATGAGGATGATGATGGCGGTGGTGACAATTATGATGAGGAGTTGGAGGAGAATAGTGGTGGTGATTATAATGATGAATTGATGATGTTTTTTCATGAATATGATGACGACAGTGATCATGATCATTATCTTTTACGATAGAGATGATGTGAACAGACAACACATCATTCATAATAATGTTGCCCTACCTAATCATTTATTGAGGCATATGACCGTTCACAAACATTGATGCCTCAAAAAGACGAACAAAATTTGAACATAATGGTGTCACAAGAGGGCAGCAAACAAAGTTGATCATGATAATGACAAGTGCTGATGATGATAAGTTCTCCTCATAGAGATATATACTTAATAAGGCTAGAGTGCGGACTCGTCATACGCGCCCGTTCAAAGCTCTGTGCGCGCATGGAGCGCGGTCCGCCATTACTAAGGAGGGCACAACTTCGAGAAATACCCGGATGTTCCCTTCGAAACTGTGCTACTGATATGCAATGTGAAGCTTCATTTTTCGGGTTGATTTATCGGTTTTCGAGTATGAAACGTTATAATTGTGGTATTTTGCATAATGCATGAACCCTACTCATGCCTCAGTCATGGTATCTGGTGTAGGTCAAGATTAATTACGGATGTTATGGTGAGGTAAAAGGGACACAAAAAGCTATTTATATTTCAGTATATCTTCAATTTTTCTTCCTCTTTGTCAATATAAAACTGCGATATTATGACATTAAATATTACTTGGCTTTCAACCAATCAGAATCAAGCATTTGGGACTTGTATTTGATATTTATGTCATGATATTAAACAAAGTTTTATGCTACAGGGCCAATGCCGGGGGCCAATGTCTTTCTAATTCAGTTATGAGAGCCAGGGTTTATTGATTTAAAATGCTTTAAAGGTAATATATTCATTTTATGTTTATGACTATTATAAACAGATTGATACTTATAGATTTGGGATAGAGATGGGTATGTAGATAGCTAGACACATAAATAGATGGATAGATAGATATAATATAGAAGGATAGGTAGATAATGGAAATGCAGATAAAGGACGATACTGAAGATAGGAAGAGGGGGAAGGAAAGAATTATAGGCCTACACATTTATTTAAAAAAATTATGTTATTTACTCATCCAATCATTCATCCATCCATCCAAACATTCTTTTTCTTCTTCTCTCACTCATTTTATATCAAATTCACACCTTATGTCTTTCACCCATTCTCTATAAAATCTCTATTTTTGTCTGAAAGAGTAATTCAATTTTTTACAGTTCACTATAAATATATATGAATATTCTTTAAAAACAGCTGATCATTGATGTAATAATTATTTATTCACACCACTTTTTTTCTCCATAAATAATATTCTCCTTGATACAGTGTATTTCTTATTTTCTTCATCAACCAGTTTTAGAGAATAAACTTATAATTAAATTTGAAGAAAAAAAATGAATAAATGAACCTTTTATTACCACACGGCACACGTGTGTTGATATTCTGCAGCATAGGCATTTAAGTTTTGACATTTTATCGGACATATATACTGCAATAATACATCACAATTGAAAAGACAAACATTGCAAAAACAACACCTCAGATTTTAGCCCCAAATTTACTGTCACGGATCATAGGCAACACAACCACAACAAATTGATTCGCCACCAAAGACAAGCATTACACATCCCAAAACCACCACAATAACTCCCAAAACATAAATGTCAGGAGGCCAATGTCTATGTGTCAAGATGTCAGCGATAACGAACACTTTATTAACTAGTCTTGGCTCCAAGCGCACGCAGGCGCGTCACATTTACAAATAATACATCGAGTAATAAATGCAAACCAGAAATAGTAATTGAGCATATATATTCCAAGTCACCTGTATTGCTATGAAGAACTATAATTGAAGAGACTTACATCTCAGGATACTGCACTACACTATTCAGTGAAACCTCATAGTAACATGGTCTTTTGACATCATTATTCATCAGGTGTAATAATAAATTTGAAACTGATTACCCTCAAATGTACACAGTAGATACAACAAGCCAAAGAGTGCACAATCTTATGGGTTTACATCTAGTGACATTATTCCATATAATTTTTCTGTTATCAAATCTCTTCAAAAGCAGTTTTCCATTTTGGAACAAAATTCAAACCAATGTACAAAACGATCTATGGGTGTGTATATGGTGTGCATTACACAGGCTTTTCAATTGCCACACATCTGTGAATTCTTCTCGTTTATTAAAAATGGGCTCACTTGATGTGAATTTCTTGCTTTTCATCTTTAATGATGTAAATCACTTGGTTGAGAGCAATCCAGACAATGTTATAAAAAAGGTCTACATGTTTATCTCAGGTTATCCATACTGTACCTGCAGAATCAAAGCACATGTAGAGTGCAAATAATTTGCAAAAATTTGTCGCTGTTTTCACGAAGTGACGGTAGTGAAAAAAAATGCATTCACTTTGCGTTACGATTTTCCTCACTACCGTCACTTCCTGAAAATAGGGACGAATTATAGCAACTGAATCAGATACAGCAGGTACAATCATGAAGCTTATAGAGTATATATTCAAATACAGTGTACCTCACAACAACTCAAAATTCAATTACATTTTGTTTAACCCCTAATGTAATCAATTCTTCTAAGTTCCACTTTAGTTTGCCTTCGTGTAAAGTTAACAAACAGAAAATTATGGTTAGGTTGTGCAACTGTCACAATGTGTCCCCAAAATTTTATTTTATTACACAGAACAAAAGTCTCAGATTGTTCTGTTTTTTTAAAAGATTATTGAAAGCTCTCTCCAGTTTTAAACGGCTTCACAGTCAATCATCCAGTGGATAAGCTATGCAGACAAGAGGCAAAATATAAAAGACCGATCTGTCTTTGTAGTTTGTACGAATGAAGTTCTATGTTTTGTTTTGTTTTTCTTGAAAATGCGTTCTCTCCAAAGTTGTGTTGAAGTAGGTCAAGCTGATCCTGGCTAATGAGCTTGCTTTTGTGGACTTCCTGCAAGAGAGTCCTGGTTTTTCCATCTCTCCTGTTTACCTTGTTTCACCACTTTAAGCTGTTTCTTGGCATCTTGCACTTGCTGTCTGGTTATATTCAGTTTCTAATCAACTCAGACAGAAAAAGAATAGTCATGTTCTTTTGTAATGTCATAGGGTTTCTTTGGAGGCACGGGAACACTTTTGGATGTTGTACATGGTTTTGCTGGGAGTCTTGAGCCATGGGTCTGTTTATAGGGAGGATGTCCAGGAAAGACAGTAGGCACAGCTCTAAGAATGAGATGTGGTGTGTAACATCCTTTCCTCTCTTGGGTGTATTCCTGCATTACAATAAAAGCAAATGGAAACAATAATGAGTTTTTTCTCATAACATGACAATTGTTCTACTATTCATGCTATTTCATGTGATTTTTAAGACTGAAACTGAAAGCAGCTTCCAGCCAAATAAATAAAATAATAATGATGTCAGCAAGTCATAAGCAAATTTGATAGAAATAGTGTAGTGTGCGGTGGGATTTTTAGGCTAGCCTAGCCTAGTTGGATAACTCCTGTGATGTGAAATTTGGCAGGCTAGCCTGGCTAAGACCAAAAGCTTCAGTCTCTCTATATCGTCGGTTGTTCTACTGAGACTGCGTCTGGCTCCACTAGACCTCTGATTATATTATGGGGAATGTCAACAAATGTCAGTTTTATTAAAGAAATGACCCATATCAGATGGTTATATCTGTCTAACCTGGCTTTGCCTTTCGGGCTTTAGAAATTAGAGAGTAGAGTTTAGATCTAGAGTCTAGATCTAACTTAGATCGAGTCTAGTCTATAGTTAAAATATAGATCTAAAGAAGTCGACATTTGATTTTTATCTTGAAATTAGATAAGATAAAATTAATTGTATCGTTTTATTCTAGACTTTTCTTTAATAGAATCAAGCTCATGGAGTTATATTTCCGAGTTGGACTCTCTGGCTCTTGGAGTTGCGAGCGACTCCAGCGCAGCAGAATTTTCCCATCACCATCCCCAGAACCTTAACCCATGCCTGCCCCAGCCCGGCGGGCGTGGACTGGCGCGCTCCGCTGCTGCAGGAGCTGCGGTGGCTTGTCATGAGACAACCCGGGTACAGACTACAGTCACTGCATAAACTACATTTTTAGCTCTAAAATCTCCTTATTAATCAACATAACATTAAGAAGAACTTACTTGTGAAATATTATGCAGTTCCCTTTCTTTCTTCGGTTCGAACATCCAAATGCAACGCACGAACCTGGCTTCTCCAATTTTTTCCACGTAAGTTGTGCACAGTATCTTGTTGGGTCGTTCGTTTTTCTGCCCTCCTTAGTAATGGCGGCCACAGCTCCAGGTCCACACAGCAATTTGAGCGAGTACGCCCTCTAGTGTTATTAAGTATATATCTCTATGGTTCTCCTTTACTCTTCTGTAAGTTTTCTTTTCCCTTTGGATATTAGGTTGGTGATAATGTTGACGGTGGTGGTCAGGATGCATGAGGATATTTTGTTTGGGTTTAGAGTGATTCGGTAACATTGCCTCGGATTCTGAAACAAAATCCTGGATTTAGCTCAAGCTGCAATCATAATTGCAAACATTGAGGTCAGTTAGGAATCCCATGACTTTTACAAGCAGATCGCCTGTCCGATTATCAAGATATTTACGATTGGAAATCGAAATTTAAATTTTCGTTTACCTAACGGTTTTTATAACACTACAGTCTATAGGGGGAAATGAGTATGTAAAACCGGTCACTCAAATATTTTTTACTTTTTTGAGCCGCTTCATGATCATTTGCAAGTGCAATTTGTTTAGGACTTCAATATTACACCATATCACAGACACTGATAAGACGTACGGCCATGCATCTCAAATTTAGCATTGTTAAACGATGCCTTTAAAGCTTATCTGCCATAGTTTACAGGAGGGATTAGAGCGCCCTGCAAGGTCACTGGACAGGTGGCTATCTCATCAACTCAGCTCTCAGTTAACATAAGAAAAAGAGGATCATGGGGGACCAATGGTCACCGATTAGGCATTGTTTGTTATATAGAGGGCGCAAGTAGCTACAAGTAGTGCAGTGGGCCTTTAAAATGATGATGATGATGATGAGAATGGTGATGCTGATGTGGATGACAATGATGGTGTTAAAGATAAAATGGGGTGACAATGTCGGGACAGGGTCCTAGACTACAAAAGGATCAATTTGCAGTCTGAGGTATAGATGACGGTCGCCGTTGCCCAAAGATTGGAGATTTCAAAACTCATGACATGAAGTCGTTATTCTTGAACGAAATCTCGTTTTCGGTTGGGTGAAAACAATCTTCACGGTGAGAGTTAATTGGAACATTCCTGGCATGCCAAACGTGACAGGGGTTGGGTTCAATGACCGCGCGGTCATCTCACTGGCATCATATCGTAGGGTTGTGCATGGGCGGAGTTCCCCCTTACCATTCGATCGGGGGGGGGGGGGGCTTATACCTTCTTCTTCTTTTTATCCTCATTTTTCTTTTTCTTCTATTTTGTTAAATGTTATTTAAAAATAAATACATAGTACATGTACAGGTAAGGGATTTTATTGAATATCGAAAATTAGATTGAATGAAATATTGTATGATTTGTGATCATCTGTTTTCATCTCTCTCTGTCTCTCCTCCCGATTTTAAGAGCCTATTCGATTAGAAGATAATGTCAAAACTATATTTTAAGTTAGTTTAATTGGTTTTCAATCTTCCCTTCTTTTTGTTTTTGTTAGTGTTGATGGGGGTATGCATTTTCTGCTTGATTTCTTCCGAAGTTCGACTTCTTCCAATACATCTTCTTCTCAATGCAACTGATATTGTGTTTATCTCGTGATCATTTTCAAACTTTGGCAAAAAAGTGAATCTCAACCACAAATCTTAAATTCTCTCTCTCTCCCCGTTTTTTTTCCCAAAGTTTTTTTTTCTTCCTTTTCTCATATTCTGCCTTATACACTGTTGGTCATAAAGGTGGAATAATTATTTTTACCCCAGTTTAGGGAAGGACCTTAAAAAATTATTTATTTCTAATAGATCTAGATAATGGCATACATTCTCAGATTTTATTGAATATTAATTTGCGAGTGTTTGTTTTGCGTGACTGCTAAATCATATGTGTGCTACTATGCTAATAAGCTAGGGAACTTACGTCCTTAAATCATAATTGACAGTAATGAGGATTAATGCCTCACAAAAGGGCACTAATATATAGCTGATCGACACGATTTTTATCCTGGGGCCTCACAGAAACGAGGCCATTGCTTAGCCCCTGAATCATGATTGTACGCAGTGTTTGCTAGGGTACGCGGCCCCTTCCACAAATCCCCCAAAACGAAGAAAATGCAATAAATTGTCAAAAATTCATTGCATTTCCCCCCGGCCCCCAACAGGAAAAATTCCTCTGTAGGGCCATGCATTATGGTTCAAAACATGGCCACACAGAGGAATTTTTCCTGTTGGGGGCCGGGGGAAATGCAATGAATTTTTGACAATTTATTGCATTTTCTTCGTTTTGGGGGATTTGTGGAAGGGGCCGCGTACCCTAGCAAACACTGCGTACGGTCATGATTCAGGGGCTAAGCAATGGCCTCATTACTGTGAGGCCCCAGGATAAAAATCGTGTCGATCAGCTATATATTAGTGCCCTTTTGTGAGGCATTAATCCTCATTACTGTCAATTATGACCTAAGGACGTAGGTCCCTTAGCTGATTAGCATAGTATCACACAAATGATTAAGCAGTCACGCAAAACAAACACTCGCAAATTAATATTCAATAAAACCTGAGAGTGTATGCCATTATCTAGATCTGTTAGAAATAAATAATTTTTAAAAATCCTTTCCTAAACTGGGGTAAAAATAAATATTCCACCATTATGACCAACAGTGTATTATAGGGAAATACGGACTATTGAAAACTTATATTATAATTGCTTTCATGAACAAATAAATATTAATGAAAAAGCATTATATATAGGTTACTTTATTGAAAAAAGGGAAAACTTTGTAATAAATTCATGTTAATTTTTAGACCAATACATAATATACATTATGTAATCAACTTCGGTATGATAACTATTAACCTTAATTCGCCTCAAAGTTGATCCAAGGTTTGATTTAACAATTTTTGAAAAAGCTTTTTGGTACCCCTTCTGACAAATTCTTGTCATATTAATTCCTGCTCTTAAAATATGTTATATACATCTGTAAATTTAAGAGCAGTTTACCAACTAAGATTGCATTTAAATCATTTGTCAAGACACATAAAGAAACTGAGTATTTCCTTGCAAAAAAAGAGAAACAAATTAACTTTCCATCCATTAAAAAAAAAAATGGAAATTCGTTGTTTAACTTTTTCTTATGTAGAATGTAATGTACATATAAGAAGTTGTTTGTTGATAGAATGTACATTGGATCTTTTTTAATCTTTGTTTGAACTTTGAAGTTTTGATGTAGATTCATAACAGTTTCTGAATATTCGTTGCCATCTCTTGCTCAAGGAATGCGCCGCAGGGGATTCGGGAAGCGGTCTTTATCCCTTTTTGCGGAAGTCTGCTCGTGGTCACCTGGTCGGAACCTCATCACAAAAGGATTGCCGCGTTCAACCATTCCTTCCTTTTACGCTTTATTTTTAAGAGGCATTGACAAGAAGAATGAAAAGAAATGGTCAAATGCGACGTTGATTCGGGATTAATATTATTGCTGGTTGGACTATAGTTCAACGTGTAGTATCTATTGTTAACCTTCCCCCTACAATATAACACAAAGTAAACACTTCGTGCTGTTTACAATTCTATTCAACAAATTCGGTCACTAAATAGCGAATAAAATTAAGGCATATGGGTCAGTAGCTTTACGTAGGCTACATGATAGTCAATCATAGACAAATGTTATGTTGTATGAGAATATTGCTAAATATACGAACTTTGAACCTTAAGCTGTACATTATGATAAAATTATTGTAATAACGTACTACAATAAAAAGGAATTCGAACATAGGCCTGTTTGGGAAAAAATCATAATCTTTAGGCCTACTCAGTGGACAGTGACTCCATTGACTATTATTTCTTCATCAGTGAAATTACCTTTCTTCCCCTGGTGGTTCTAAGAAATCATCTCTCTCTCTCTCTCTATCATGGGCGTCAATCCAAATTAGATCGTAGGAGGGGGGACACAAGTTCAGACAGGGCGGTGCCAGGTTATTTTTTTAGGGGGCGAATGGGCGCGCCGCGCAGGGGGGGGGGGGGGTGTCTGAGGGGATGTGCCCTCTCAGAAGTTGAAGTTTTTTTTAAAATTGATGCCTAAATGGCTCACTTTGGTGCATACTTTTTGCCAAATTAAAAAGAAAACAGTAGAACGCCGGGGTGTCTGAGGGGGTGCCCCCTTAGAAGTTGAAGATTTTTTTTTTGAAATTGATGGACAGATGGCTTGATTTTTGGCATAGTTTTTGCAAAATTAAAAAGAAAACAGTAGAACGCAGGGGGTGTCTGAGGGGTGTGTGCCCCCTTCAGAAGTTGAAGATTTTTTTTTTAAATCGATGGATAGATGGCTTTATTTGGGGCATACTTTTTGCCAGATTTAACAAAAAAACAGTAGAACGCAGGGGTGTGCCCCTCTCAGAAGTTGAAGTTTTTTTTAAAATTGATGGATAGATGGCTTGATTTGGGGCATAATTCGTCCTTGTTTTCACGAAGTGACGGTAGTGAGGAAAATCGTAACGCAAAGTGAATGCATTTTTTTCTTCATTACAGTCACTTCGTGAAAACAGCGACGAATTGTTTCCAAATTAAAAAGAAAACAGTCTTAAGTTCAACTAACAGGAACAAGAACGCAAGGGGGGTAAATAGATAAATTTGTCGTTTCCTTTGAACAATCAGCCATAAGGTTTGAAAGATACAAGGGATTAATTTGATTTTTTTTCTTCAGTTGGTGAAAGGATTTTCATCGTAAACCAATGTTTGAACTTCCGGTAATGTGAATGTTTTATTAATGACGCTTCTATTAATAAAATCTGATAGCCAGATTTGGCTTGATTTTTTCTCTCTTTTTTTCTTTATTTTCTCTATCTTTATTTTCTCCCCTCTCCCCCAGCCCTCCCTTACGTCATAATTTACATTTTATAGTTCTGTTTCTCCTAGCCTCCCTCCTTCTCGTCCCCTTCCTTTTCTTTTCATCGCCTTCATTTCGTTTCCTTTTCCTTCTTCTTTTGCTCTTTCTCCTTCCCTTCCTCTTCCTTTTTTCTCAAAATGATAGGGGGCGGCCGCACCCCCTGCCCCCCTGTGACGCCGCCCCTGAGTTCAGTGAGGATTAGGGGGAGGGGGTCGGAGGACACAGAATGCGGTGTTTGCATGGTAGGCCTATGGTGTGGCATAAGGGTACACCCCCTCTTAAT